ATTGCAATTTTGGAAGATAGTGATGGTGTGATTGATATTGATCTGCCTGTGACAGGTGATTTAAATGATCCTGACATCAAATATGGCGGCATTGTTTGGAAGGCAATTGTCAACCTACTCACCAAAATTGTCACATCACCTTTTCGTGCGTTAGGTAAGTTGTTAGGTGATGATGCCGAAAAATTTGCGACGATCGATTTTGATCCTGGTAAGAGTCGTCTATTGCCTCCTGAGAAAGAAAAATTAGTTAAATTATCTCAGGCACTTAATAAACGTCCCAATCTTGCTGTTACGATCATCCCAGGCATTAATGAGATGCAAGATAAAAAAGGGTTACAAGAAAATAAAGTGCGCTTATTGATCGACACCGCTTTAAAACTGCCAGAGGAACAATTACGTGAGCCTATTGATCCTCAGAATGAAGCTACTCAAGAGATCATTACGCGACTTTATCGTCAGCTGCCCAATGATCAACAACAAGAAAAACCCGAAGAAGCTAATTTGCCCACGGCTGAAAAACGTTTAGCCATTTTAACGCGCGCCCAATCTATTGATTCTAAAGATATTGATGCGCTAGGCAATAAGCGGGCAGTAAGCATTCAAAAAGAACTTGGTAGCGACATGGCTAGTCGTGTGAAAATTAAAGGAGCGATACAAGCGAAAGACAAGGGGCAGTTTGTGGCGACAAAATTGGAGTTAGGGGTAAAGTGATTCCAATTTCAGATCAATTGTGTCAGCGAAACGACGACGAAGACATGACTGTTAATCGTGCTAGGAGGAGTAACAAATTGGTCATTTATAGAGAATTGAGTAACCTACACTAAAGACTCTTATGTGTCGGTTTTGCCAACAAAGCTTTCAAATTCGCTAAATGTCGCTGTGGCACAACTTGGGGTTTGTCAATGGAATGATCACGGCCATTGGCTAGACCCATTTCGGCGATAAAGCGAGACGGCTCACAAGCAACTTGTTCACCACCACGTTTTCGTCTTGAACACCAGGTTATGGTTAAGCTTTTTTGTGCACGTGTAACGCCCACGTACATAATGCGACGCTCTTCCATCACAGCATTGGAGATGGTCTCTTCATCACGTTCTGCTTCGTTTTCTGCGTTATTTTGGACAAAAGGCAAGGTGTTTTCTTCTACCCCGATGATAATAACATGCCCAAACTCAAGACCTTTAGAGGCATGAATGGTAGAGAGTTGAATAGCATTTTGATCATCATCTTGGGCACGATTCTCAAGCATATTCATGAGGGCAACGGTTTGAACGAGTTGGGGAAGGTTTTTGTCGGCCTTAACAGAGAGGCCATCGCGATTCGCATAGTTGCTTTCTTCATCATCCAGAGTATCAAAGAGTTTTTCTTCTTCACCAAGCGCTGCATCTTCTATGGGTGACTTGGTGCCTTTTTGTTTGAGCCACGTCATCAACTCCAAAACACTGCTCCAACGATTTTGTGCCTGACGATCGTCAAATTGTTCGTATAAATATGCTTCGTAGTCAATGCCTTGCAATAATTGATCAAGAGTCTTGTCAACGGGCTGATTTTCAAGTTCGTCAGTCAGAGTTTGAATAAAATCAATAAAATTTTCGAGTGCTTGTCGTTGGCTGGCACCAATCATCGAGATGGCCGCACCACTTTGCGCGGCTTGGAAAAGTGAGGTGTGACTTTGTGCAGCAAGTTCCCCTAAGGAAATTAAGGTTTGCGAACCTACACCGCGTTTAGGGGTGGTAATTGCTCGTAGGAAGGCTGGATCATCATCTGGATTGACTAAAAGACGCAAATAAGCCAGCATATCTTTAATTTCAGCTTTTTCGAAAAAACTTTGGCCGCCTGAGATGCGGTAGGGGATGTTTTCACGTCTTAGCACCTTTTCAAAAATGCGCGCCTGATGGTTGCTACGATATAAGATGGCATAATCACGCCACTGGTTACCGAGTTCAAAACGCATTGAAGACAAACGAAAAACAACACTTTCTGCTTCATGTTCTTCGTCCTTCATGGGTAACACCAAAATAGCTTGTCCGTGGCTGTGTTCACTCCAAAGGTTTTTGATGAAGAGTTTGGGGTTGTGTGCAATAAGCTCGTTGGCGCCTTTAAGAATATTGTTCGACGAACGGTAATTCTGCTCTAGTTTGATGATTTTTAGATCAGGATATTCCTGCTGTAATAGCAAAAGATTGTCAGCATTGGCACCACGCCAACCATAAATCGATTGATCGTCGTCACCTACTACTGTAAAGCGAGGTACAAGGCCTTGGCGATTGACCAGTAATTTGAGTAACTCATATTGACAACCATTGGTATCTTGATACTCATCGACCAAAATGTATTGCCAACGTCTTTGCCAATGTTCGCGAACGGCAGCGTGTTCTCTTAATAGCCTGACAGGTTGGAGAATCAAATCATCAAAATCAACAGCATGATATGCATTTAAAAGTGCACAATAACGTCCATAAGCGCTCGCCACCCGAGCGGTTTCTTCGTGGCTTGCCGTTCGTAGAGCCTCGTCTGGAGAAATCAGCTTGTTTTTCCAGGTTGAAATTTGGCTTTGAGCTAACAATATATTTTTTTTGTCATTTTCGCCAAGGATGTCTTGTAAAATACCTTTGCAGTCTGCACTATCTAAAATCGAAAAATTCTCTTTAAATCCTAAATGCTTCGCATCATGGCGTAATAGGCGCAAGCCAAGTGAATGAAAGGTACTAATATTCACTTGGCCACGAGGTTTTTTACCCATGCGTTCAAAACTCGTTGTTAAAGCTGGTTTAACACGGGTTTGCATTTCGTGCGCTGCTTTGTTGGTAAAGGTAATGGCAACGATTTCTTGCGGTTGATAGTTTTTATGCTGAATCAGATGAACGATTTTTTCGGTGATGACGCGCGTCTTACCACTACCAGCACCGGCTAAGACTAAGCAAGGGCCTTGATCAAATAAAACGGCTTCTTGTTGTGCGGGATTCAAATGAAATTGGGACATGAACAACTTCGCATCAAGTGAGCGTTATAAGAATTATAAATATTCACCGCGCCATAAGTCTTCAAAAGATTCCCGTTCTCGAATAATCCGCGTTTTGGCATCGCTAGAAATCATGACTTCAACGGCTCGGCACCGGGTATTGTAATTAGAGCTCATCGTAAAACCATAGGCGCCTGCCGAAAGTATGGCTAAAACATCCCCTTGGCGCACAGACAAAACACGATCACGTCCCAACCAATCACCACTTTCGCAAATAGGGCCAACAACATCATAAGTCTGTAGGTTGCCCTGTGAAGCTTGCACAGGGACAATTTGATGAA